CGAAGGACATCAATAACGAACTGAAAACCATTGCCTCCAAACTCGAAATCGATAATCGCATCGAACCTATGGCCCAAACACCAGCGTTTATCTCACTTAAGGACCACAAAGAAAACTTCGAAAATAACCCGCAATGCCGTCTTATTAATCCTGCCAAGAGCAACCTCGGAAAGGTTAGTAAGACAATCCTCGACAGTATTAACAACAACATCCGCAAGCAGACAAACAGCAACCAATGGCGCAACACCGATGACACGATCGCGTGGTTCAAGGATATCAAAAACAAGGACAAACACACTTTCCTGAACTTTGACATATGTGAATTCTACCCATCAATTACTGAGCAACTACTCGACAAAGCAATTGAATGGGCTAAACAGTTTTCCAAAATTAGTGATCAGGACATCAAAATAATCAAGCACGCCAGACAATCACTATTATTCAACAACAACCAAACGTGGACAAAGTCGAATGCCGCAAACGCTTTTGATGTCACGATGGGAAGTTTTGATGGGGCCGAAATCTGCGAACTCGTCGGTCTATTCATCTTGAATAAACTTGAAGGGCAACTGGAGAACGTCGGACTGTACGCGATGACGGCCTCGCCGTTATACGCACTACATCAGGCAGATTATGTGACAAAGCCAGAAAACAGTTGACTAAAACTTTCTCGAATTTCGGGCTGAAATCACCGCCACGGCCAACTTGAAGCGGGTAAATTTTCTTGACGTCACACTTGACTTGGCTAACGGAACATACAAACCCTACAGAAAACCCAACGACGACCCACTATACATCAACCGCCTTTCCAATCACCCACCCGCTATCACACGACAACTTCCATCATCCATCAACAAGCGAATCAACAAATTATCATGCGACAAAACAACTTTTGACGCTGCGTCTCAATTGTACAACAACGCACTGAGACAAAGCAACTACGACGCAACACTTACGTACGAGCAACCAACCAACACGTAGACATCGACAGCAGCAACACAACGCAAAAACGTAAACGGCATCGCCATATAATCTGGTATAACCCCCCTTATTCGAAAAACGTAAAAACGACATCGGACAACAATTCCTACATCTGTTAGACAAACACTTCCCACCTTCCAATCAACTCCATAAAATTTTCAATCGACATAACGTACGAATCAGCTACGGCTGTCTTGACAACATGCGCTCATTCATAAACAACACAACAAGAAAATACTGAACAAACAACAAAACAGACAAACGCAAACACAAACGACACAAGCAAACAACGACAATGCAACTGCAGACTACCGGAAAAATGCCCAGCTGAAGGTAAATGCCTCACATCAAACGTAGTCTACCAAGCCGAAGTGTCCACGCGCAACAACGATCCACCAGCCAGGTACATCGGAGTCACTGCGGACGTTTTCAAACACGCTACCGAAATCACGCAAATCTTTCGCGAATAAGAAGTATGCCAAGGAGACGGAACTGTCGAAACACATATGGAAGCTGAAGGAAGCTAAGAAAGATTTTTCGATTTCATGTCCCTACTGAAAACTGTCCCAGCCTACAAAGCCGTTCAAGAAGATGCAACCTCTGCCTTGAGGAGAAACTCCATATCATGAAAGACAAACACTAGAACATCGCTGAACAAACGCTCTGAAACTCTTACGAAATGTAGACACGTAATTCGACACCTTATATCACGATGTAAATATAGAGAATAGCAACCAGACCTGCCATTAGCCTGATGATCGCTTTATAGCGTGAAACTCCGAGTAGCTAAGCTAGTCTTTCAATAAATATATATTATCGCTCTGCCAGTAATGGTATTGAGCGCTCTCCAACCATTGTCAAGTTCTGTGATCTTTTTGTTACAGTCAATTATTTGGATATATATATATATATATATATATATATATATATATATATATATTATTATATTATATATATATATATATATATATATATATGGGTAAGAGTTATGGTGTTCATGAGGTTTAGAAAACACAAAAACATCCTGATAACAGATCTCAAAAAGAATTGATACGAGCCTCGGATGTTTTACAAGAAACTCGTGTGTTTCTTGACGTTTAGGTCAGCGAAGGTGTCGATTTTAGTGATATCAACGGTCGTACTGTCGTCATAACTGGACTACCATATCCACTGGCTTTTGATTCAAAGGTGGTTTCAATTAACCACCTAGCTAATGCTGTTTTAATATTCTCAAAAGTAAATTGGGAAACGAGTATCTTTTGAATATCTTTCATCCGAATAGAAATACGCTTGGATTTCTGGTTACTCAAGTTTGATTTATTAATAATATGGCTTTTCAAGATCCTCTACTCTGATTGGTTGGTCGTAAAACACATATCCGTCGGTCAATAATCAGTTATTATTACTCCAACAATCGTAAAAATCCATTATTATCTCTAGACATCTTCTCCAAAGTTCAAAAACATTTTTTTGTTTTCCCTCGCATTTCAGGTGGAATTGAAAAAACAATTCCTAGATGAGGTGGTAAACAAAAGAGAATTTAAGGTTGGTTATAAAGTGGTTCTAATCATTATAATTTTTTTAAGAAATAAACGAAACGAGGAATATGTGGCAATTCGGAACTCCAAAGTTAATTTAGCCCGTGTTCAAATCTCTATATAAATTCGTGACTGTATATAATCTCTGAGTCATATATAATTGTTTATTCCATTACTACCACAATAGTTTCATAAACTTTTTCTGAGTCAGGAACAAATTTATTTAACTCATAATCGTGTATTTTTATGGATTAAATGGTCAACAATGGTATGGTCAGCGGGCATCTCGAGCTGTCAATCAAGCCATTGCTCGTGCATTTACGTCGTAAAAAAGATTTTGTGACGATTTTGGGTCGGATTACACAAAACTCTGCTAGATGACCCGCATATCCGTTCTAATCTGATACCTAGGCTCATTTTCCAAGGTTCTGCCAAGAAAGAACAAAAGCGGAACTGCCAAAAATGATGTAGCGGTATATTTGTATATATCCGACGTTTGGAGGCCTTCAGAGAGAGTTCAGACGAGCAACTGAATTAGTGAGTTCTTAATTGAACTATAATAAAGAACTATAATAATTTTTACGCCACATCAATAACTTGAAACAGCTTATAAGATCAATGGTTGTACTCTGACGAACATTGCTATCCGTGAATTGGTTAAGTTTTTGAAGAACGAAAATCATGAGAGTAACGACCGTGAACTTACTAAACTATATTTGAGTGGCAATCGTTAAACAGCTGAAGCTGCTAACGATTTATGTGATGCTCTGAAGAGTGGCACCTGTAAATTTACCAAGCTAAATGTAAGAGGCAGTGGTTTAACAGCTCAATGTGCAAAATATTTAAGTGATGCTCTAAAGAGTGGCACCTGTAAACTTACCAAGCTAATTTAGCTAAATGTAAGAGGCAGTGGTAATAAACTGCATGTAAGTGGCAATAATTTAACAGCTCAAGGTGCAAAATATTTAAGTGATGCTCTGAAGAGAGGTAGCTGTAAACATAATAAACTAGATGTAAGCGGCAATGGACTAACAGCTCAAGGTTCTGAATATTTAAGTGATGCTCTGAAGAGTGACAACTGTAAACTTACTAAATGAGATGTAAGTGACAACGCTTTAACAGCCGAAGGTGCTAAATATTTAAGTGATGCTCTGAAAAGTGACAAATGTAAACTTACTAAATTAAATGTAAGTCGCAATGGTCTAACAGCTGAGGGTGCTAAATATTTAAGTGATGCTCTGAAGAGTGACAGCTGTAAACTTACTAAACTAGATGTAAGCTAGTGTCAATGATTTAATACCTGAAGGTGCTAAATTTTGAAGTGCATGATGCTCTGAAGAGTGACAACTGTAAACTGATTTACTAAATGTAAAGTCCTAGTGGCTGCAATCAGTTTAAAACGCGTAAAATGTTGTCAAATGTTCTTGTTGAGCCTTACGACGACTTGTCTCTTGTACAAACAATTTTTTTTTCAAACAAATTTTTTTCCCGATATTTTTGGTCGATTATATTTTGCCCAACTGGATGAGACGTTTTATGAGACAAAAGATAAAATGCAAATTTTCAGCCCAGACTTTCATCGCTCTCTTTCGAATGTGTTAAGTCAAGCTCATCTAATGGATTAGTTCCGCCTTATTACTCGGGCTACCGTAGGTAGCGAGGTTGCCGTAGGTAGACGGAGTTATAAAATGGGCTCGGTTTTTTCTTTTGCGTCGCGAGTTTACAAAAATCACGCGTGGGCGGCACGAATTCTTCGAACCAATCGAAATCGTCCTAGGATCGTTTCTCGCGCGGGTGTCACGAACATGCCATGTCACTACGAGATAACTGTAGCCCGAGTGATCCGTGATCGCCTGAGTAGGCAACTTGTTGTTTATATTTCAAAGAAAAGCGATCGCAAAAAGTCGATCGCACGACATTTTGCACCGTCTGGAAATCCGCCTTAAAGCCTAGTTTCGATAGTGAGGTCGTTATCTTTCGCTACCTGTCGTTTGGTGTAACCTTGAAAGACCAATATACCGATACAGAAAAACCGAAAACGACAGTGTCGTTGGGATAGAAAAAACCCCTATCTCAAAGACGTATAACGACAAGAAACGACAAAATTCTGTCAAAGCGGTCCGGTGACATACAGAAGAATCTAAAATTTATAACAAAAAAGTATGGAATATTTTACTAAGTAGAAAAAACTTATATGAGCATAAACAAATTTAGTTGAAGAAGAAACTCCTTGCTAAGGGCCTCCTTTTTGTTTTTGGTATAGTGACGATGTGCGACACTGTCGTTTTCGGTTTTTCTTTGTCGTTATCGGTCTTTCAAGATTACTCCAAAGACTCCGAAAGACACGTAGCGACAGATAACAACCTTATGGAAACTAGGCTTCAGTAAAAAAAAGCTTTGCTTAAAAAAGGGAATTAGAGTTTGTAGTCTTTTTTATAGTATTCTCCAAATTGTAATTCTAATAAGTATTTTGTAGTTTATTATTGTAATTTCACTAATTTGTATGGTAAATTTCTTTGTATTAATTGAAAGTTGTATGTAAACCAAAACTACGTACGGCCCGATTTTTGGTGGACTGTTCAGACAACCCGATATTTTTTTGACGGGCTTAGGGGGGAGGTAGGTGGCCTGCGTAAAGAAACGTAATGGTGTTTCAACCATAAACAAATTCCCAAAATGAGATTTAAATCAATGGGTTTAAATGGCTGACGAGGAAGCTAAGAAACTTGCTGCTGCTGCTGCTATCTTGGTTGCCGTTACGTTGTGGCGAAAAGAAGAAAGGCACGCAAAGACAGGAAACGTAATATGTGGCAAAAGAGTTGGATTGCCAGAAGAAACGAAAGAGGCGCTTATCACGCCCTCGTCCAAGAAATGAGGCTCGAAGACGAAGAAAGCTAACGAGGGTATTTGAGGATGGACACAAATACATTTGAGGTATAAGCCAAGCCAAGTTAAAAGATATGTGTTTTTAAATTTTCTTTAGTATCAGTTTCGTGCATGTTGGGAAGTCAACAATTTCTGCTTTGATACCTGAGGTGTGCAATTTATAACCAACTTTGAAGTGAAGTTCTTCGTAACACCAGAACTATCAGTCAATCCGGGAGCAGTGAAGTTCTTCGTAACACCAGAACTATCAGTCAATCCGGGAGCAGCAGCCATGTATGCTATCTAATTTTTCGCACCAAATTAAATTTGGAAAGTATGGAGAGTGAAAACGTTTCAGACGTTATGAAAACGTTTCAGACGTTTTTAAACAGGGATAATGTGAAGCCTTGCCGTTTCGGTAGTCCAACGTGCAGTGTAATATTATCCCAACACGAGGAATATATTGTCATAGATTGCTTGCATCCGAACCAGCTAGTTTTTGTTGACGAACCAGACATTGTAAGTATATGACACCATTTTATTTCCTTGTATTTAAAAGTCACAACAGAGTGTGTCTCTTATTCAATGTCCTTTAATTCGTGTTACTGTAAGGCAAGCAAATAGTTCAGCAATATGGATATAGTGCTCGAGGAACGAGACTGTTGTTAGACCTGTTGAGATTTATATATATACTTGTACTTGTAATTTTTGTACAATTCATATATGTACTTTTACTCTTAATGAGCCATGTGTTCACTTGTGGGGTTATAGGGAATACGTGTTTTATATAATGCCATCTTAATACAGTAGTCAGTAGATACCAAAACATCCTTTAAAATACCTTTATATTTCAACAATTCAGCTGTCAGCTTATTTCCCAATTTTAATCAACTGTTCGCGTTCTTTTGTTAATCCATTAATCCGTTGAGCAGCTTGACTTCTTAAAAAAAAGGAAAACGTTTAAAATTCAAATCTTGGCTAAGTAGTTCAGAATTTTATGAAATGAATTTAGGGTCTCTTATGTGTTGATGAGAAATTTTAGGTTTTCCCGCCGCAATCAATTTTCAGTTTTGGAAAAGATCATAATTTACCAATTGTGAACGAGTTGGAATGAAATATATCTACGTAGACTTTTTAACGTCGTAGCTACCATAGCGTCATAGCTATACTATAGCGTCATAGCTATATCACGCCATTTCAGGTGGATCAAGACAGCAAGGGATAGGCATTCTATATATGGTCTAACAACCGACAGTGGTTGGGTTCCATCACAATTTATATATACATTTCAATTCAGTAGATTTAGAAGGTTCTACGTTCTTAAGATTCTAAACACGAATAAAGATAATATTTCAAAAGCGTCAGAAAGTACACTCACCTTTCTCTCGAAGGTCTTGTATAAACTGACTTTCTGGATTGTACGTATTCAAAGGTTTTCCGTGACTGGCAAGATCCAATTTTAATGCATGCTGACAACTGCAGAAAAGCAACTCCAATAAGAAAAAGCAACCATCTCCTGTCTGTCACACAATTCTTGACTAGATGTTGCTAATACTTCTATACCTGCGGTAGTTTATCTGCGACAAACATTAACCAATATTTCATAAACAATCTCTGCACGAACTCGACTTTCGGTCTAATTACACCGAATACAAAAATTTCGGACATTACGCTCTCAAAACAGATAAATATCAAACAATTATCATGCAGTAATTCTTCGCCTGTAGGCCGTGTTACACCCTCACTCATCGAGTGCGACAACCAAATTTTTTATCACTGATCAAAGAGACAGTAATTTCTTAATCGATAAAAAGATCTAAGGTAAAACACTGAAAATAAAGCTCTTATTCGAGTGGAAATACCGCCTTGGGAATGTTATGACTTAGATTGAGATCTCCACTAAAGGCCGTTCGAGTGAGCTTTTAGAATACAGGCATAAGGCTGTCACAACTGATATCTTAGGTTTAGCATTATAGCTGCTCGCTTTGTTACTCAGTGAATCTCCCAGGATGTTACTGACATCCGGCTGATACCTAATCAAATCCTCTCTTAACTGCTTGCGGTTTTAAAAGTACATATAAATTTCGTTCGATCTTGCATTAACCAGCAACACGGTAGAGTACAATTGAAAGTGAGTTCACCGTTAAGCTTCAGATTGTGATACATTTACACGTTTAATTTGTTTTAATGTTATATACCTAAAGAATGTCTTTATTATTTCCATTTTGCATCTGCGATCTAGTTATTTAACAATATCATCGAGCTTACCTGCATGGTTTATTATAATGATACGGCATCAATATTTCTCTTCAAACCCGTTTTGTAAAATTGGTCAGCCTGTTGTCTTGCTTGGGTTACCGGCAGCTTGATATCAGAGTTCTGCTGCTTCAAAACATTCATTTCTTCGCTGGCCCGACGATTCTCTGTTGTCAACTGATAGTAAAGTTGATCAATGTTTAGTTGCTTCTGACGAACCTGGAAAGAGAAAGAGCGTTGATCATCAATAATCGACACAGCTTTCTAAAATCCATGCAGGAATGTAGCACTCGAATACCAGCGCCATTTACACTATAGACTAAATTTATCGGCACGGCACGGATAAAATTGTTACCAGTGCCCAGTTCTATTAAGTTTTCAGGCTATATATACAGGGTGTATCAAAAAAGATAGTTAAGACTTATCTGGTATATCTAGGCAAAGTTTGGTTTTTCATTAACAAAATTATGTTACCGGGGGGGGGTTCCTTTCCACTGATATTGAGAGGGCTTGCGCGTGAAAATGTGAAGCTGAAATTGAGATATTATTTAGCTGTATAAGAGTAGGAAAGCTTTTTAATAAAGTTTCAGGAAAAATAATACATACTGGTAGCAACGCGCGACCCCTAAAGGTGACAAATATTTCATTGCGCGCAGTGGATTAAATGCACCGTTGATTTTAGCGTGACCGATCTCATGTAAGGCTGGGCAAATGAATAAATTAAAGCGAGAAACTGAACACAAAAACAAAGCGATTTATTCGAGATGTTAACCCTCAGCATGTCCACCATTTCATTCTACGCTTGTCTGAGCATGCTAAACACTGAACAGTGGACCGTTTGTCTGTCCATTCGCCTAGATTTGCCGGTGGTAGTGTAGGCGATTTGCAAGAAAGAATTTCGAACGAAATGGATAATTTGAGGCAAGACAGACAAATGGTTCGCCGTTCAGTGTTTACCGTGCTCACACGAGCCGCAGTTTGCTTAGAAAGAAATGGTGGAAATGTTGAGGATTAACATCACGAATAAAAATCTTGTTATTAAATCGCTTCGTCTTCTTGTTTCGTTTCTCGTTTTAATTTATTCATTTGCCCACCTTGTATGAGATCGGTCACGCTAAAATCAACCATGCATTTAATCCACTGCTTGCAATAAAATATTTGTCACTTTTAGAGGTCACGCGTTGCTCCCAGTTTGCATTACTTTTCCTGAAACTTTGACAATTTATTAAAAAGCTTTCCTACTTTTAGACAGGTAAATAATATCTCAATTTCAGCTTCATATTTTCGCGCGCAAGCCCTCTCAATATCAGTGGAAAGGAACACCCCCCCGGTAACATAACTTTGTTAATGAAAAACCAAACTTGGCCTAGGTATACCAGATAAGTCTTAACTATCTCTAGGAACACAAAAATTTGCCAAATTCTGCAAAATATTCTGAAAAACGGAAATTTTACATTTGGGACATATATATATATATATATATATATATAAGTATAAATGTCAAGGAAACAAGGCAAATTACTCAAGAAAACTATATCACCAGAGAAAAACTTACTGTGTTACCAGTTTTGCCCAGTTCATGGAAACAAGGCAAATTACTCAAGAAAACTATATCACCAGAGAAAAAACTTACTGTGTTACCAGTTTCGTAAGGTTTTTAGCTCGGTTATTAAGCCTTAGACTACATTTGCAATAGCGACTTACTTGTTTAGCGTTGGCCAACATTTCTTCTTTTTCCCGAGCAAAGCGATCCAATTCGGCATGTTTCCTTTTAAAATCCTCCTGTAAGTTGTCTCCCATTCTCCTCATATTTTCCAGTTGTGCTTCGAGATCTGTGACCTTATACTTATGAGTGTTTTCCAAATCAGAAAGCATCCAATCTTTTTCTTCAAGCATCTTCTTCAGCTCCCGAGTTCTCAGTTCTCTCTTGTCGAGTTCCTCTTTACATCGACGACTATCACATCGCATTAACTCCAGTTCTTTTGTTAAACTTCAGATCTAAAAAAACCTGTCAATTATTAAAGACAAGTGACAATGATCGACAAACCATCCCACAAAGCACTTTCTAGATATGTACTTTAAACCAAAAGCCTAATTTATGACGGGCAATTTATACGTTTGGCTCGGTAGTCTCGTTTGACCAAATGCACTCGTTTAAGCATCTAGACTACATAGGTAAAATTTAGCTCAGAGAGCGAATTCCTAAATTCGTCAAGAAGTTAGGGAAAAAGCGAAACCTTGTTGGTAGCAAGATAGTTTAACTGAGGAAAACAGTTACACACACACCTTGTATGTTTACAATGCACAACATGTAATATTCTTAGTATTAGTCATCCACAAAATGGCCTTAAACAACTGGTCTATGTGGTGAAATAGTTTAAAGCCACAACATGTAGTGTTTAAAGTGCACAGGAGGTTTTTTGGAGAGAGATGAAAAAAAGGTCCAAGGAGAAGGGAGCTTCAGTAATAAAATGGTGGTAATATTGTATTTGAGGTATATATTGGCAAATGGAAAGCATGCAGATAGGCCTGTAATGGTTGTAATGAGTATAAATTATTACCTTAAGGTCATTTGACAATAAGAGACTTCTTGTTTCATCCAGTTTTGATCGATATTCTTGTTCTCTTTTTCTTATTGCTTCATCAAAATTACTGACATTTTCTGGATGACGAAACTCAAATCATTTTCTGTTGCTCTAAAAAATCAAAATGTTGATTTTTAACCAATATTTTAAAAAATGCTTTATTAACATAATCACTGTAACTCATTATTAATTATAGCCTCAGTAAGTTCTCAAAGTTCATAATTGCACATTGGCATACATTGCATGTAATATATCTCTACTGATACTAAAAGGTAGTTTACAGTGACTTCTTCACATCAGTTCTGCTTGTAACAATATGGGTAGACTACTTGATTTAAAATTTCTGAAATTTAGCACATTTTTTACTTTTCGGAACATAAACTCCAGCTCTCATTTAGAACTATAGCAAACCAAAATAGTGTCAACTATTCTGACTGCTCTTGATATTTTTAGAAATGTAGTGAGTGAAAATGTAAACAAGGTGTTTGTTTAAACATGGTTTACATTAATTAGCATCAGTGTACCCTACCTTTAGAGTTCATTAATTATGATCACCTAAAATTTAAATGTCTTTAAGAGCTCTGATGGTATTCCAGTTACAAACAATGATTGCATGAGGTGAACTAGATTACCTTAATTGTAGCTCCAGATTTTTCCGATAAGACGAAAGCTCCTCCCGTTCTTTAGCTACATTATCTTTCTCTTCTTGAAAAGCTTTAAATTGATTCTGATATTCTTGCAATCTCTAGACATAATTAACCATATCATTTGTTGAACATATCAGAATTAAACATATAGCTAGTGAAGAAAGACAAGCAGAAGAGAAAGCTTGCAGCTCAGCTGCAGCTATTCTGGAACAGTTCTAATTATGCTTAATGGCTGCCCAGTTTGTTCTCAGTCAATTACAGGGTTGCTTTTGTTGCTAGCTATATCACAGGATAAATTTATTCTTGCACATATGTACACGTATACAGCACAACTATATGTAACGATTGAAATTCAACAAAACTTCATAAACCTTATCGGAGGACTAACTACATAAGGCAACGAAAGGAGTGCCCCAATTAGTGAAAAATTGTTGCCTGCTTCTTGTCATAACAAAGTAAAGTGGGTTTCTTTTTTAAATAAAATTGTTGTGTAACATTTATGTTTTCGTTCCTATACAACAAAACACTTAATGTACACTACCTTTGGAAATAGTGAGTTATGTTTTCCCTTCAGTCAGACTCTTGGAAAAACAAAATTCACCATTTCCCTCGGGAGCATACATTAAGTGTATATTACACAATTGTAACTTCTCTTCATGTAAATATAAGACAGTTAGCTTTTATATATTTATCTTTTATCAAATGTAATTAATTTCATCTTCACAATTTAATATTAGACACCAATGTCACTATGTTCAACTATATTGCACCAAGCCATTGCAACTAGGGGTTTAAATTAAAAAGCCTGTTAAAGGTTTTAACAGACTCCTAGCTCAATTAATTTTATCCTGTTTTCATTTAAATATTTTTGTATGCAGAATCGATTCATCAAAATAAAAAAATTAAAAAATTTACCTTTTGGTAGTGTTTCTGTAGCTCCTCTTTGGACTTCTGTTCATTTTGTAATTTGATGTTGAATTCATCAATCTTCACACACAATTCACTAACTTGAGCAGTCTTAACGTGCTCCTCTTCCTTAACTTTACCAATCACCGTATCATATTTCTCTAACTCTTGATCTCGTTCTAATATAGGTTTGAAGTTATACTCAAAATCGTCCTTCAACTTACGAAATCTCAACTTTTCCTAGTGTCTGAACTCCCTATCTTTTTCAGCTATAGTTTCTTCCAGTGCCTGAACTCTAAGTTGAGAAGCTTCACGCCATTCTTTTTCCTTCTGTAAAACCACGGAGTCTGAATCGTTTGCAGACATTGGTATTTGCAGCATATTAATAACACATTGAGTGCACGAAGGTCATGCCAACTTCAGCACAGTTTGCTGATATATTTCGACAGTTTGCGATTGTTTTGCGGCGGACAGTACATCTAGTATAGTATATACAGCGATTAGCCCGCCTATTTAAGCTTCATATTGTGCTAAAATACATTCATTGAAGAAAAATTTCTAGTTTCTATCATAGGCAGCCCAATGGCGACTCGCGTGTTCAGGCAATGTAGGCATTATATAGTATATATATATCCTATATAATGCCTACATTATATAGTATATATATATCCTATATAGGATATATATATACTATATAATGCCTACATTGCCTGAACACGCAAGTCGCCATTGGGCTGCCTATGGTTTCTATATAATATTTTTCTTTGATTTGGTAAAGCTGTTTTGTGCATTGATCGCCCCACGTGTGTCACGCAAAACTACGCTGGTCCCGCGTGGTCGGAGATTACGTAAGAATAGATACATAGGCGTACATACGCTTTGATCAAATTTTAAAATCCAATCCTGGAAGTCAACCTGTTCATACGATCCAATTTTGTCGGATTGAATTCACTTCTGATGAAAGTTTTATAGTTTGTTGAGTTGCAATATATGTGAAATTTATAAGACGCTTTATGATGTCATGATCTCAGATCAGCTGGTTAGTCATGGCTTCAAATACGTCAAAAGGCGCCTGCACAAACTGAGTAGTTCTAAACTCAACATTTTTTAATGTAAAACGGGCAAAAATAAAAATTCTAATTGATTTTGACGAAAAAACAAATGCATTTTTACATTGAAATAATGAACTAACTAAAATTTTTCAAATGCCGCAGTTATATGATATGAAGGATATGATAAGCCAGTCTTCAGTGAAGCAAAGGATATGGCTTCTTATTCGTTGATTTTTTCACTCAGATTACCTGGGTATGCAATGCCGTAGAGGGTGACTGACTTTTTTTTCATCCATACCATTCCATCATTTTAATGTATGTTCGCCAAAAAAACACCCCAGACAGGTTTGTGAAATTAGTACTTCCGTTTTGGACAAAAGATGTCGGATCGGCGTAAATTCTTCTTTCAACGAGAGCAACCCCCCCCCTATCACGTACCAATTTGTGTCTAGATTTCACCGTTTTGGAAAAATGATTTCACGAACAATTAAGGGGTGTCGCATTGCTATTCCATTGTCAAAACGTGAACATTGATGCTAGTTGCTCAGCCTTCACAAAAGTTGCTCTAAACTACCTGGAAATTTTTTCAATAATAATCATTTCTATATGACGCATTTCTCGTTTTTTGGGTTTCGCTTTTATTTTGTGGAGCAATGCAGACGAGGCGTAGAAACTTCCCGCCTCCGTGTCGATTACGGCGCGACATTTAACACTATTTATATTAACAACTACGACAGGACAAACGACAGAACTATAAGACTAAGTAGCATTTCATTAAAGGGCGCAGCAGGAGGCTTCGTATCACCCGGGAGGTCACAAATCAAGGTATGATGTCTACGCTTACATTTGGTACAAAAAAATCGGCTTCGGCAATCAGAAGCACAATGATCGGCACGGTTAAAACACAAATGCTTATCGCTTAGATACTTCTTTCGTTCCGCAGACGTAACCTTTAATACGCCTTAAAAGGCGTTCACAACACGGATCGAGTAAACAAAAAAAGCGAGCTGTGTCAGTGTGTCGTTTTGCTTGCGTACATTCGAATATAATTTTGATCAAGTCACAGAATATGTATGCATGCAGTGTCGTTTAGCTTCGATCGAGTATGCTCAGAAAGCGTACATTCACATATACCTGGGTGCACATATTAAAACGCACCGTATGTGTCGTTGTCCGAAAACTGTCCTCACGCACAAAGAAACAGAAAATTGAATAAAAGCTAATAAACGGTCAAAAATATGTCCAAATTGATTTAACAAAATCAAGCCGGATTCGCCGCGTGGAAGAATTAAGTCTTGCGCGTATTTTACCGTTTGACTTTTATTTCAAAGCTTTTGGCATATTTATAGTGTTTCAAAGCGATCTTTCTTCCGTAAATAACCGAAATTTCCATTCTCAATGGCGTAGGGAGAATACCGAGATTGGGGGGCGGGCTCTAACTAATAGAAAGGGCAATTAAAAATATGTATAGGGACGGTTTTATTGCCAAAGCACCAAAGACACGACTAGTAAGTAGTGACTGTAGTGTGGTTTATATTCATCATGGTCTACACAAAGATTAGGAACGGGTAAGTGGGCGTACCTGTAGGCCCTGGGCGTACATTGGAAACAAAAAAGGCCACCTTCGATTTTAAAGTTGTATTTACAGAATTACCATTTCCAAAAAGGCATTTTTCACCAAAACCCCGGCACTTTTGGGCCCTAGGATTCTTTTCTTTTGGGGGGGGGCACGTGCGTAGTATCAAAAATTCTTCGTCGTTACTGATAATTTCGAAATCACTTGCTTCTTATGTCCCGCGTTGAATAAATGAATTGGTATAAATACTTTGATGATGATAATTTTGTTTCTTGTCTAAAACGCACAAAACTGAATCTTATTCCATTGTAATATCAACGTGAAATTTGCCATACGCCTAAATATATGCCGCCCAGGTGAAGAAAATGGTTACGGTGCGATTGTTTTGTATTTTTAATCTGCATTACAATTTTATTTCATATTTAAATGCCAGGACACATTAAACGAATGTTTAGTCCACTTGTTTTTGGTACATTTTGAAGTACAAGTTTAACTTATATTTTATCAATGAACATGCATGTTTTGTTTCAACAATTCCAATTGAAAATTTCCCAATATGCTTATAACCGACCGGCGTGTGCCCAGACGTTTTGCCGCAGTGTTCTGGGGCCCGGTCACGTGTCACTACCCTACATGTGGTAGTGACGTAATCATCGCGGGTTCTCTTTGCACATGCATGCAGTTAGTCTTTTGCGAACAACAGAAGCTACGCGTCATGACTATACGAAAAATGTATTCAATTCATTCTTACAGTAATTTATTTCGACTAACGTCTATATATTAATGCCATTTTAATAGATATACCAAAATATTCCTTCAAATACCTTTATATTTCAACAATTCAGCTCTCAGCTTATTTCCCATTTTAATCAACTGTTTGCGTTCTTTTGTTAATCCATTAATCCGT